GTCTGTATCCTTCTGTGCCGTTAATCGCACGCACCAATCGCAAAGCAATCGATATGAGTAAGTTGAAAACAATCAAATTGCTTTTTTTTCCTGCTCCTCCTTCTGCTGCAGTCAAGTGTTTTCATCGGTTTTGTGCAATCATATTTTCATTTCATTGTACACTACGTTTTGAAAGATGGTACCAACATTGCTAAACGCACAACCGTTATGTGCCTAATAGCCATGAAATACAATGAAGAAGTACTTTGATGAATCGACCGTTTTTCGCCCCGAACATTGGGCGCATATAATTAAATGGAGAAGAGTCGGTGGGACTGGGAGCATTTAAAAAGTCTACCGTTTAGCGCGGTACCAAGGAGGTGCATCAATGAGTTATAACGTATGCGCGTTTTTGACGAAGAAGCAGAAGAGAAGAGCTTAAGCACAGAGAATATTATTCATTTTGAATATTAATGGAAGTTTGCAGATGAATCGTTCGTGCATTCTGTCGTTTGAGATAGATAATAAGGCTGTTGTTATCATCTCCCCTCAAGCTTAATGTTGGTTTAATATCAGCACTGAGATCGGACTCACTGATGGCTACAAAACTGACTCTGGGTCAGGCTCTGGGGTATTAATCGAAGTTAATGAGGATAAGCTTCACTTTATTCTTGGGTAGTATGCTAAGGTAATTGCAATCCTCAACGCCATGAATTACGTGATGGAAAATAGGTGGAGGGGAAGGAGTTTACGTTTCTGCAGTGACAGCCAAGCTGCACTTAAGGCATTGGCCAGTCCTCTCACTACTTCCAAACTAGTTAGGCAGTGCAAGTCTCAACCAAATTAGGTTGACAAACATAATGAGCTTGTTTTACTCTCGGTGCCAGGTCACTAGGGAGTACCTGGTAATGAGACATCTGACCATGTGGCCAAAGCTGGCTCAGACCAGGTATTCCTCGGTCCGCAACCAGTTATAGCACTCCCACCTTCGGCCATCGAGGTCATCAGCAGAAACGGGGTGAATACTTCGCTCAGCAATGACTGGAAGGTATCGTGGGGCTGCAGGTGGGCAAAACTCATTTCGAATTCAATCTCAAAAGGTCTATCTAGTTTTTTACTCGCACTGAGCAGACGCGACTGCTAGAATTAGGTATCGAGACATTTGGTCCCGATGTGTTCAGAGATGAACACCTGAGCTCTTTGATACCCAACAATCTGCTTAGGTTTATTCGTAAAAACAGATTAAAATGGACGGCATGTAGTCTGAGTGTCGTTTTCTGCTTGGTTCCGACAAAAAATAAAATAGAACTAAAAATCATCTCACAGCTTCATTTTCAAATAATTTGTGTGGACCTGAAAAAAGAAGCTGTAAAACCTTTTATTAAAAAAAAAATAATTGTATTTAACAGACCGATACAAGCAAAGTCACAAGACTCAGCGAAATCTCAACAGTGATGCGCTCAGTTTTTTGACTTTGTTAGATTGGGGTCGTATGCTTCTTCTTTCGCTTTTACAGCCGAAATGTATGCTTTGTACCAGATCAAGTCACTTCTTTCAATGATCGTGAGTAATCTTGAAGTTTTGCCTGCGAAAGTTTGCTTAACCGCTGGAAATCACGCGTATGGAATGCGCGCCCAAAGTGAATACGATGCCGATTAAATATGCAAGTGAAACTCTAGCGGGGAAAATAATTGAACACTTTTTTTAACAGAAAACATTTAAGTACAAACTCTCTTTATTAGATGCTAATGAAACCACGCCCACTTGAAACAATTACGCTCAGTACACTCGCCGACGTAGCCGTATTTTTAGTCCATTTACCGACTTCAGTGTCAAATAGAATCCCAAACGTGCGTCATAAGGATTGTCGAACTTGTCATTTGGATCTGCCGGGTCGTGTATACCCGTGGATAGTCCGTCCACTGCGGGTAGTATATTGAAGTGGCGTATGATTTTTGAGACGGTCACTTTCAATTCCATCATAGCAAATTTTTGTCCTATTAGAAAAAAAATAAAATCAAACAAGGTATGCTAAAAATTCATTGAATTCCTTGCAAAATATACCTATACAGTTACGCGGCCCCGCGCTGAATGGCACGTAGTCGTACGGATTCGATGTGATGCGATTTTCAAAACGTTCCGGTTTGAATTTAAATGGTTCTGGAAAACTGTGCGGATTTGTACCCAATGCAATAATAATGCAACCGATGGAAGTACCAGCAGGAATCTGAAAGCCACCTTAAAAGGATAGAAATAGTCAAATAAACAAAATTATCAATAAAATATATAATAAATATGATCAAATCAAAGTCTTTTACTTGAAACAAATTTCCCTCGAAGGGAATTCTTCTAAAATGCAAATCGAGATATTTTCATAACACAGGTTCATCACCATCACAGGTGAATCACCATCGTACAAACATATTAAAACTGACCAATTTCAGTTTGTTCCTGCAGCGTGCGCACAATAAACGGCACACTGGGATATAATCGCAGCGTTTCCTTCAGTATCAACTCCAAGTACTTCATTTCGCCCAATTCTTGGTATGTTGGATTGCGTTGAAGATCATTGCCGAAAATGGCGTATTGTTCTTGAAAGGCACGCTCCTGTATTTGCGTGTGTCGAGAGAGACTGTAAATGGTGAAACCAATAGCGCTGGCGGTGGTGTCATGGCCCTGGAGTAGGTAGTATAAAAAAGCAGAGTGGGTGTTGGTGAAACCATGAAAGCAGTTTCGTACTAACCTCAAAAACAAACGTTGAGACCTCTTCAAAAATATCTTGAAACGTTAGCGGTTTGCCCTCAACTTCGGCTGTTAGTAAATTGTCAAGAAAGGCCATTTTCGGACGTTTGCCATCAGCGTCACTTTTAAATTTATTTTCACCGATTTCCTTTAGTATGACTCGTCTTTTCTCAATGATCTAAACAATATCTAATAAATTTTAGAAATAGTTTTCTAAACATTGCAGGCATACCTCCGAAAGTTCTTTGCGTAGTACGGTTAAAGCTCTTTCCTGTTTCCGATATGCCTCCGTCCAAACAAAGAAGAAGTCCAAACGATTTAACGCGCTGAAGATCCGTTGACGCATCACATCGCAAAGCCTTTAAAGCATACACATTCTTGAAATGTAAGCCGTTAAATAAACAAAAAATTATAATGTTTTACTCAGCAATTGCCGGCACCATAGGTGAGGTGCGTCCTACTATGGCATTCACCGGAGTTCCCATGGCAGCTTCTAAAAAAAAAATTAGTTAAAAAAAAAGATTTAAAATAAATAAGGTGGTTTTTATGTTTCCGGTCTTTACACGCACGCACCGCAGATGACATCGATGGTCGAACGCGTTACGATCTCTTGAAAATCGAACATATCCTCCTTAGCCGCGAAATCTCCCAATAGCACCATAAATCGATCGGTAGTGTCATTCATAATTTTAAGGAAATCTTGTAGAATTGCAAAATGAAATGAGGGCGTTATCATCTTACGGTGATTTAACCAATGGCGACCATTCGATGTAAGCAAACCCTGGCCCAGCCAAGGGTAAAAAAATTTGTAGGGGTCGTACTTGTATATGAGTGTGGTGCTCGAGAGCACTTGCTGAAAGGAAAATTGGATAGGCTTTCATTGGAGTAAACAACCATATGTATGTATTTATGTAGGCGGAAGCAGGCGTATTTACGTACCTCCATAGCTTTGGGATTTATGACCATCAAATATGGCTGTGCACCACCGTACATGCGTGCTAACCCATAGTTATATTGATGCGCCCAGCGACGCACTTGGGTCATATTATCTGCGGAGGAAGCAAAAAAATAAAAAAAATTATAAAACTGTATACAGAACTCTATTTAATTTGCAAAGGTATTACATAGATGCCTAAATGTGTAGGTAATCATAGTACCATGGAATTCAATCGTGGGTGGCCGGAAAAACCAAAACCAATTTTTTCAAGCTTTCGGGCAGTATGGCCCATTATAGCCTAGAGACAGGATTTAGAGGAAAGGGTGAGGTGGGAGTTCATTGCTCCTCTTCAAACCTACTAGATTCCGTTGAGAATCTTAGCAGTTTGTTCAGGGAAAGATAATGTGTCTAATTCTCAATACATCCGACCCAAAAACGTTCGAAGTCTGGTCGTCGATGATGCCTATTGTGACTATATGTCGTCCCCATGAATTGTACACCGAAATAAGTCTTGTCAAGGCTCGTAGATCACTCCTTCTTTGTCTGAGAAGCAGTTTTGCTGCCATCCTCTCAGGCCGTCCTGAGGACATCCGGCCTCAACCTCTGCCATGGTACTAAGGCTACTTTCGTCCCCCACAGTCAGAAGTATTCTAGTTAATATAAAGTCCGCAGAGCACATAGAGTCAAAGGTAGCATTGTTAAACGGCCTTCAATATCAGTAAATACTCCCAGCAACCATCAGAATAAATACTGTCCAGCAACCATCAGATTTTCTGAGAGCATCAAGTCTAACCGTCAGGTCCAGTTGAAGTACCTTACACAGACAGGCAGACTCTTTCATGTTGTCGATATCATTGCAGAAGACTCTCTAAAACCTTATTTTTGACATTATGATATTTGGACCAGTCCTCTTATTTTCGGGTTTTTAAAGACCTATTCAGAAGTCTCCATCATAGTAGCATTGTAAGATCCAAAGGAAACTTCAACTGATGGAAATAGGCAAATAACAATCCCCCCGATTGTGATTCTGATGATTGAGAGTGCCAAAAGAGTGTAGGTATGTATGTATCTAAACTTATTTTTCATTGACGTCAGAATTAATTAAAATTGGCTTCAACTGTCAATGAAAATAACATATTGCATATTAACGTATTTACGAACAGCCATGCGTACTTAAGTGCATACATTCATACATATGAATATTCGCTCTGAACAAAAACTGTTATCAATTCCCGCCAATGGAACTTGAACCACTCATCGCAGAATCAAGAGCATTTTATAAAAAATAAGTAGTATTTATGTAGTTCACCTGCATATGTAAATATAAACAAATATTTCTATACGCGCATATACATACATATGTTTACGTTATTTTAACACTTTTAATGGAAAGCAGCAAAAAATTACGAGAAAGCCATTAAGGCAGAGGCGGTTTCAAGAGCAAGCTTAATTCTACATACATATGTATTGGTTGTATGGTTGGTTGATTATAGTGCTTCATAGTAACTTACTACGAAGCAATTAGCGCGTTTTGTGCCATTTTGATGCACTTTCGTGTGAATGCTAAACACCTACATGCGTATGTATGTATATCTAGATTTCTCGGTGAAACCATCTTGATTCCCTGATGAATTTGCCGATATCGTCTATAGTAGATCCTGATATACATATATATATGCCAGTTTTTTTTTGCATGTATCTTCCGAGTAGTTTAGTCTAATAGCCGCTAGACCTGGGCATTCACAAAGGAAATATTGGACTACTTCTTCGCTACCTTCTAGTTGACAGCTGCGGCAAGTTCTATTATATTGGCGCATCATTCTCTCTGCATATTTGCCTATGGGCCAGTGGCCAGTAATAGTTAGTACAATTTCAAAAACTTATGACCTCGATCTATTAAGCAGATCTTCTGACTTCGTCTTATTATCTCAAGCCAAAGTGTCTTGGCTATTTTGCAAGTCCCTTTTCCTTGCCGGTCGAAGAAAATGCAAACCTATTTTTCTTAGTAGTAGTAGTAAAATCTTGCCTTCGCCAATTCATCGGCCTTCTCATTGCCTTGGAGTTACCCAAGAAATATTAACACACTTGCATTTTTTGCTCAGTTGCATTACAAAGTTTTAATTTTTTATTTCGATAAAAAAAAATCGTACCCACGCACAGTAAAATTCAAATAATTCCGCTTTATTCCCCGAATTTGCACGATCTACCTCTCCGTCTTCCAAGCTTCATCTAATATCTTGGTCTTGGTCGGATAGTGGTTCTCTTGGGTGGTGTGTAGGAAGAAGGTGCTGAAGGCCTTAATGGACGCTTTGATTCCTCTTTCGGTGGATGAGTGCGTATGTACTCGAGTGCCCGGAGAATAGCATCTGGAATTGGTGGTGGGGTCGGTAGAAGATCACCCTTCGGCTGATAGCCATTCTCATCGGCAACATATGAGATTTGCATCTGTTGGCCATCGGGTGAAATCCATTGGAAACCGCCTTGAATATTACCATTAGCATCGCCTGATCTTGTAGATTTAATGCCATTGCTGGTCTCGAGCGCGTAGTCGAAACCATCGGCACGTACTTCAGAATGCAGTGACTTTATCTCAGCGTTCCTTTCATCACCAGAGGCACGCGAACTGCTGCTGCTGCTGTGACCACCGCTACTTTGGCCATAAAAAGGACGACGTGGTATGACGGCCACGCTGAGACCGATGGCGGCGAAAAAGATGAGCTATGACACGGGTATGAAAGAGAGTGAGAGTGAGAGTAAGTTATGAATGAAGTATTCCTTTGTCTGGAATTGGATATACATATGTAAGTTTTCAACACTTATTTGACATGCTTACATATTTGAACATTCTGTGCAATGCTTTCTACCCGGGTAGGTGGTCACTAAATGAAATCAAACAAACGAATGTTCCACGGTTACATTCACTTTGATTTTTATACCGTGAGATAGTTCGGTTTTCAGGCAAAAAAAAAAAAAATATCCGCACAATTTATGCACACCACCTCTTTGTTTGGAAATAGCTGGCAGGTGTGTCCCAACGGTAAGAGTTGTCATCACCAAAAATGAATTAATATTTCAAAAGCAAAAGGTACAAGCCACTTTTGGATGCATCCGTTCTCATCTCGCCGTGCTGCGATACGGAGCAGGTACATATGTGGTTCAGTCGGTAGTTGCATGACAAGTTTTTCTTTCTTTATTCAACAAGAGACAACCGCACCCACAACAAAAATAAGCTTTCAAATATAATTTATATTTTTGTTGGTTGAAACAGCAAAAATAAGCATAAAAATTATTACAAAAGTAAACAAAAATTTGAATTATTAGCGAATTGCGAACAGACTGATGTACATACTACATATGTATGTATGTATGTATAGCATATTTATTTATATGTAGATTTTAAAATTAATAGAAGAACGTTTGCTTATTACTCGTAGCAAAAACACGTTTAACTAAAACTACTTTTTATTTATTTAGCCGCTCAAAATACAACATTATTAATTGGTTAATTTTAACGATCGCCGGTTTGACAAATTAAATTAGACCAAGTGTGCTAATTGTCTTAATCCACGAGCAAAGTAGTTGATCAGCAGCGATCTTAGGCAGCAATAAGGTTTAAGAATCTGCATTGGTATGCAGATGAACAGCCGGCTAGATAAGTTACGTAGTCATCGTACAAGGACGCCGTCTTCTTCGCATAAAGTTAAATGATGTAATTGAATTAACCCTTCCGCACAAGTTGAATGAAATTTACACAATTAAGGGTTGTTTATAGTTCTCAGAAAAATCACAAGAAATATGTTTCATTATTTCTGTTGCTAGTACTTTGCTGTTGCTGTAAATTTGCTTGAAGAAATAAATAAGTATACGAACGAGCGTTTTTTGTTTCTTGAGAGCTGCATACTGATTTAAGAAATTTTGATAGAAAAAAATGTATTTTCCATTTTTTGTGCGTCATCTCTGATCGAGAAAGCCCAGGTTTATATAATCAAATTAATACACATATGTCCTTGGATACCTTATTACCTTAGACCAATTGTAAAAGTGGGAAATTAAGAAGGAAAAAATCAACCACGCCCTTCCCAGGAAGAACATGGTTGGTACATCAACTTGTTCATTGTTACCAATGTACCGGACAACTTTTATTGACTTGTGTTGACACAACACTAGAGGTTGACGCATCGGGCCAATGTTGTAATTGGAGTATCATAGAAGATTACGCACGCTTGGCAGAGATCTCACAAGCGGATGTAAGACCATCGGTAAAGAAAGGGATAAGTATTCCATATGGTATCAGAGGCTATTCTTCTTGGCCTATGTGTGGGCAGAGTTTTTCTCTTTACTAAACTAAGAATTTTTACTCTATGAACCGTTTTTGCTTTTCAACGTTATTTTTGCACTGGCCAGTAAGGTTACCAGAATTTTTTAACATTCCAGGAGGACACTGCACACTGAAAACACAAAATTTTGTTTTTATTTATTTTTTTATTTTAACGCCTTAATTACGAGTAAATTAACAATTTAAAGTTTCTCCAAACACAAGTCAAACAAGTTAATAGTACACCGCGTTGCATAATTATAAGACCGCAACATATTAACAGGTTTTGGCTATTTATTTTTAAATTGTTTAATTGAAATTGTATTACTTGGAGAATAAATTGCTTTCCTTCTTCGTCTTTCGTCAAAGTTCGACTATAATTTTTTATCAACGCTATACCTCGTTCAGCAATATTATTAACATATTTAATACTCTTAATCGCGAAGAAAACCTATTTTAGAGGAAGTTTTTAGAGAATTTAATGCCCTACAAGAATATGCATAGAAAAGACTTTTATCCCTTTTTTACAACTTTTTTAAAGGTTCAAAAGTCATAACATATTTAATGAAAAAAAAATTTACATGTTATTTAAAAATTTAAAATGCCCACCGACACCTTTTAAAATTGAAATAAAAATGTTTTCCAAATGGGAGAGTTTCCTTAAATTCGCTAAGTTATTTGTTTTGGATCATCGTAATATATATGTGTATACAAGAGTTACTCATTTACAGTAATAAGAATAAGTAGCAAATTTCCCGCAAAACACCAGTGCCAGTTTTGATTTGTGAACTGGTTTCGATAAATTTCCGATAAAATAATTCGGATGGTTATTGAATCTGAATTACCAACAAATAAGGTGATTCGCTCTTAAAATTTAGTATGGCGAATTACGTAATTCGAAGGGTAATTGGAGTGCGAATTACGAATGAGAGAGCGAACTATGTAATTGGGGTGCCGTGGTAAAGCCGTATTTAATATTATTGATTAAGGCTAAGTTGCGTTTACACTGTTCAACTTTCACGTGCTGTTAGTTGAATCAAAACTCTACATCATTTAACTGAAAGCTGACAATGTAAACTCCTTTCAAATATAATGATTGTGTACGATTAGGAAATAATAATATTCTTAACGAATTTTTTTTTCGTGTTTGAGGACAATCCTCCTCAAAGGAGGACGGCCCTCAACTGGCCTGCCTTCAGCGCCATTCTGCATATTAAACTATGTATTTGATACTCAATAACCAAAGGTTTTTAGCTACTCCTAAGTGTTATGTTGGTAAATAATTTTCGGCACTAATTTCTCGAATTCAAAAATTAATTTTCTATATATAGTCGTTTACTAGTTATGCCTTGTTGAATAATTTTTTTCAACCATCTAATTAAATTTGATTTGTGTTCCATTTGCATTTTTATCTACAAATTTGGCAGCAGACCAAAACCGAACAACTTGAAAGTAGACGAATCCAAATAGCAAATGCACTGAGACAAATTCAAATATAGAAAGTCCATTAAATTTTGCAGATGCAAATAATTTTGGCTTTTGACAAAAACAAAAAAAAGAAGCCGTTTCATAACTGAAATATTTTCACAATTAAATATAACAAGTTTAGCTGGATTTTAATGGCCGACGAATTTAAAATAGGCAAAAGCACAGAAAAACAACGGGAGTCAGCGACACAATTATACACACACAAGGGCAAAGCAAAGAACATAAAAAAACACCGTAATGCACAAATAAACTTGACCACGCGAATCTCGATTGTCTGCATAACAGGCCGCAGTGAAGCGCCGACAATTTGCCATTATAAAAGCGCTACCAAACTTGGTAAACGCCATCAGAAACAATCAAGTGTTCTAGTCTCAAAAATATCATAGCTAAAATGTTCAAATACGTAAGTGAATGCAAAGGAGACTTGCGATATACATAAATAAATATTTAGTTATTAACTTAAAATCACTCTTTTCAAATGCCAACAGGTGCTACTCTTCGCTTTCGTCGTCTACGTCTCAGCCTCTGGCAGCGCCGATGACGCCAAGGCCGAAATCAAATCCCAGCACGCCGATGTCCGCCCCGATGGTTTCAGTGCTGACCTCGAAACAAGCAACAGCATTCATGTCGTGTCAGCTGGTGATGCCCAAGGCAA